TAGCATGTGTGACCTTAAGAAAGTTCTTAAATCAGGGATGATAAAGGTGGTGGGGTTAGAATATGGTACCTGAATCGATCAAGATTCATGGATTCCTTTTCACCCCAAAGAGAAAATTGGGAGTGTACTAATGAACCGAATCTCATGGTTCCTTGTAACTGACAAGCAAGAGTACAATGTAAAGTTCCGAAAACTTGTTTTGTTTGTTAATTGACTAATCTGTTCCAGACTAATGTTGAACTTACATTTATTTAAAATGTAAACCCTACCACATAAACCTAGCTACAGCTAAACCGTAGACCTAGAAAAATCCTAATATGACGCTAATGTTACTACTCTCCTACTCAACCCATAAGAGCTTCCTGACTAACTTACATACTAACTCTTAACAAATGCTAATCTAGAAAAGATCACATAAACATATTAATCACCAAGCCCACGTCTTCATTCCCATTAATACCTTCTCCCCCAAAGAAGGTTGTCCCCAAGGTTCGGTCAATGATGAGGGGCTGAGGTCCATAATGATGGCAATGGTAGCTCTTGCGGCAGCGTGGATTCCATTGCTTCCAAAACTTCCAAGAGTGGGTACTACCAGCATGCATCATTGCCCATTCCATAACCCCAACAACACCAGCAGACAAAACTCAATCATCCTCTATTCTTCACATTATGTATGTCACTACCTCCTATTTTCTTTCAAAATTTCCAAGAATACAATGGATCAAGATCCCCAAAATCTAGCTACAATTGGTGTTTTCATGGTCACCGCAATTTCTTGCCAAGTGAGATCCACCCCCGTTCCTTCCTCATTACAAGCGATACGTTCGAGCTACGGATTCTTTCTCGTCATTGACCTAACCACCGCATGTGTTGCGTATCCATGACAATTGTTTGATTGAATCCAAAGCTTATCGTCTGCCATCAACAAACTTGTCCACCTTGAATTGAGCCCCGTCTTTAGACTCCACCTGTTCGCTGCTTCCGGATAAAAGGATAAGAGCATCGCTTAGGCATTGTTCACCTATGCACATTGTTTCCTTTTCATCGATCTCCTTGACCGTTGTCTCAATCTCGTTGTTTGATGGAAATTCTCGATAAGGGCGAGAATCATCCTGACAACTGTTGATCTTGTTCGCAGCTCTCTTGTTGAGATCTACCTTAATCTTGTTGCTATCTCTCCTTCACTATTGGAGTGCAAGAGAGATAGACAACAATCGCTCGATTATCTAGCATCTATCAGTCTCTAATAGATCAATCATGACTCTGATACAAAACGATGAACCATAAATCACAATAACATGTTTTTATTTTTTTGTAACTCACAAGTAAGAGTACAAATTAAAGTGTAAGAAACTGTTATATTTGTTATTTGATTGATTTATTCCTGACTAATGCCGAACTTACATTTATATAACACGTAAACTCTACCATATAAACCTAGCCACATAAACCGTCAAATTGAGATTGAAGAAATTTTGCGTCGACACAATGCTAGGGTGGATTGAGTGGCTCATTCATTAGTTAAATCATCTCTCATAGAGATTGGAGAACTATAGATTCAGATATCAAGAGCTAATTGGGTGATCAATGGGGATTAAAACACTTGTTTTTTCCATAACAACACACTTATTGTCGGAAGCATAACATGACAGTTGGCCTTAAGGACGCGGAGGTTCAATGGATTATCTAGATCGCCAACAAGTTATGGATATAGACTTCTTTTTCAAGATTTACACAAGGGAGGCAAGAGATGACAACCACTCAATTTCACCTGAATTCCCCATTGTTGAGGGTGACATGATGTTAAGATTAAGCACTGTCCCATTCTCGGATGAGATTAGAACAACAGTTATAAACATGAATGGACGGAAAGCCCTCGGAAAGGCCATTTTCAAAAAAATTTTTAACCGAAAAATCTAGGACTATATTGGTGAAGACTTATTTAATTTCGTTAGGTACTGTTTCTGGAATCCGGATACAATTCAGAGTATTAACTAGACAATAGTGGTCTTGATTCCAAAAGTTGCAACACCATCATCCATGAAACAATTTAGACCAATTAGTCTTTGCAACGTGGCGTACAAGGTGGTGGCAAAGAGCTTAACAAACAAGCTTAAGAACTTGATGCCACACCTTATCCACCCTAATCATTCAAACTTTGTCCCAAAATAAATATTAATGACAATAATCATAATTTTCTAGTGGTGGAGCCAGAAATTTGAATGAGAGGGGGTGTGATTTGCATCGTGACAATTGGTGGAAAGAGAGGAGCCAAGACCTTATCGACTACTCTATTTTCTTAAGTTTGTTAAAAATTTTACATGTGATTTTATCTATATTTTAAATTTGAGGAGGGCTATAGCCCCTCATCGCTTCATCCTACCTCCTCCACTATCATTTGTAGGGAACGGTCCATTCCATCCAAGGAAAAAGAGAGCAAAGGACAGATGCTACTAAAAGCAGAACTGATCAAAGTATATGACCGCATCAATCAGTAATTCATGGAAGACACTTGTGGAGGGACATGTTCCACCTGACTGTATTCGACTTATTATGGCTTGTATGGTGATAACTAGGTTTCAAATGATATGGATCATAGCGGAGATGAAAAGCTTCAGTCTCTCAAGAAGATCAAGACATAGATGTCCACTCTTCCCCTATCCTTTCATTTTGTGTATGGAAAGATGTAGTCATTGTATCATAGGAGAAGTCAAGAATAATAATTGTATACCTATGGAACTATTTGTAGGAGGTATAATCATAAGAAGTAGTCATTTTGTGATAGGCTTGGCATCCAAGCAACTCGTGACCTAGGAAATAAGTAGGTGTGTCGGTTTTCATGGTAGGATGACTAGGAATACATACAAGTACATTTTAGAGAGTGGATAACAAACTCTCATCTAAGAAAGCTAGAACCCTATCTCTTTCCGATAGGGTGACCCTTGTCATTAATGCTATTCTCAACTATGCTATGCAGAATACCATGCTTCATGCATCTGTCTCCAATGTTAGTGGTAAGAAAATTTAGGGTTTTTGTTCGGGTCTCGAGTGAAGGTAAAAGGAAAACCCATCTAGTGTCCAACACTATCTACAAACTGATAGGTCAAGGGGTCTTGGGCTTCACACTGCTCTTAGTTTGAACATGCCATACATGATCAAACTTGTGTTGCAGTTACTTAACAATCCCTCAAATCTATGGGTGCATGTGTTACAGGTGAAATGCTTCAAAAACAAGGATGGAGCTATTACATCGGATAAGAAATGTAATCATTCAAGTCTTTGGAGATCAATTGTGAAGGCTCTCCCACTCTTGAAGAGTTGATCATGTTTCAGCATCAGTATCACCAAGCTTCTGGAATGACCCATGGTTACAAAATGGAATCACCCTCAACAGCTTCCTAAGTTATGATATTTCTGTCATGGAGAAGGTTTTCGTTGCGGAAAATTGGACTAATGGGAATGGTGAGTGGGACTAGGTAGATTAAAGGACCTCCTTCCTAATTATTTTCATGATATGATTGCACGAATAAAGCCACCCGACCAACAATTAGGGGAGGAAAGAACCATCTGGGTCCTTGAACATGATGGATGCTTCAGGTTGAGGTATGTATACACACTTGCAGCTAGGGCTGGTATTCGGTATAACCGGGTACCGAACCGGTTACCATCGGTATTCGGCTGCAATATTTGGCCAACCGGTATACCAAATACCGACCAGTAATTTACCGACGGTAAATCGGTATATCGAATACCTAATCACAAAAAATAATAATAATGAGAAACGACAGTGTAGAGGATTGGGGCTAAGTGCAAACCCTAAATGAAATCGAGCCTCCCCTCCCCGCTGGCCGCTGCACGCCGCGCTCCACACCTCGTCTCGCTGATTCACTTCTCTTCATCTTGAAAGGAGAAACCCAGCACGCCACGCTCCACACCTCGTCTTCCTCTTCTCTTCACCAGCCAGCAACCGCCGTCTCCCAACCCGACCTCGCCGCAAAGGAATACGTCGAGAATCATAGCTGTCCCCGATCGAGTCTCGTCTTTGACAAACCCTCCTGATCCGTCGGCTTAAGCTCCTTCCCATCCGCCGGCGGCGACTTCTCTGTTTTGGTCAATTCCTGTCCCAGCGGCGCATGATCCCTTGGACGATCAGGCGACTAGGTCAACTCCGTCGTCGCCTTGAGCGCCATCTTCTCAGCGATCGTCGCCCCACTTGGATCCGCTGCTTCCTCTTCGTCGAGCCATTGATCCGCCACCACCTGTTCCCTTCACCAAGCCACTGTCTTCATCATCTCTTCACCAGCAGCAAGTTCGAGGGCAGAGGCGCAGAGCAGCTGGTGTCGACGATTTTTTTCGGCCATCGTTTCTTCCCCATTCTTCCTCAGTTTCGGCTAAATGTCCTCTCAATGTACTTACCCGATATTCGGTATACCGGTATTAATACCGGATACCGACTATTTGGTATTCGGTATACCGGTTAACATTCGGTATCGATATTCGGTGGGTACAATGCATGTATTGTCTACAATGCATTGTTTTTTAAAATTTTATGCACAAACAATACATGGTTTGCTTGATTTGACACAAACTATTACTCAAAATGAGTGATAGTTAAATATCAAGTTTTTTATGAGATTGTTGAGATTGTTTGGTGGAGATTGTTGGGTTATTTTTTCTTCCAACTATGTTCCTACCTTTTTATATGTGTTACTTTTTAATATTAAAAACAAAGGATAAAAGTGACTTTTCACCCAAAAATTAATATAACTTGTTTAAATACTACAATAACTATCACAGAAAGCAAACAAAGTAAACTACAATACACCAATTTTCTTATATACATGTATATCATTCATATTTCTGCTGCATAGGTGCATATGGTAATTTCTTCAGTTGGTGGAATAAAGTCTCTGTAAAAAAAAACCGAGTACTGGAGAGAGCTAGTAGTTTGTTGGGTTTTTTTTTTACCACCCGCACCTTTCATACAAGTCTATAACTCACTCGCCTCGCCAGTAGAGCGTACTAGTACTCTATTTTGTTTCAACATTCTCTTCAGAATACTTTGCCTTTCTCCTTCCCGCAGTAGCTCGTACTCTCTCCCAACTCCCAAACTACACCTTCTCATTAAATCCCATTTCCCCCCTTCTTCTTCTTCCTCTTCTCTCCCCCTCTCCATCAAACTCAAACTCACACACCACAATCCCTCATTATTATCCCCCAATCCATCTCTCTTCTCCCCTTCAACAATCTCCAACAAAGTAAGCGGAAGGTGAAAAGGGGGAGAATAGAGTGCTGAGCAGCAGCTGCTGCTGCATTAATTTGTTGTACTACCTTCCTCAGTCTTCTGTTCATTGAAGCCGAGGGGGAAACACAAAAGAAATGCTCACCAACACCAACTCCAGCTCTAATAACTCTCTTCTTCTTCTTCCTCACTCCCTCCTTCCGGTTTCTACTGTTCTTTCACTAAACCCTCTTTCCCCATAAATAAATAAAAAAACAGAGCATTGTTTTCTTTTCCAGCTTGTTACCCTCTTCCTTCCTTGAGATTTGCGTTGCTGCCTGCCTTCATTGTGGGTGTTTCTTTTCTACCCAGCCCGCCATTTACCATTCTGAGCAAAACCCAGATAATATTAGGCCTTACTCTTCGAAAGTCCGCCTTTCAATTTGCCGTCTATTGCCCGCTCCAGTGAACTTTGCACTTTTCCTCTTTGAAGTGCTTATATATGAATTTCACGAGACAATGAGAGATGAGAACTCGAAGAAACCCAAGGTTCGGTTTCCTGGGTTGTTCCAGAGATGCTAACTTGTTTTGGTTCTGTTCAATTTGGATGCACATTTGGTGTTTGTGAAAATTTCTGACCCGAAAGTTCATGATCTTAATGAAGCTTTCATGGCCCAAGACACTGGTCAAGAAGTGGTTCAATATCAAGAGCAAAGCTGAAGAATTCCAGGCGGACGATGATAGTTGCCATTATGCAGCAGGTGGAAGAGAAAGAGATACAGAAGGTGTTTTTTTCTTCTTCTCTTAATTGGCTGCTTCGATTGATTTTTTTTTTCTCGGTTTCGTGTCTGGTTGATCCTGTTAAGGATTTTGGGGGAACCAATTAGTCATTTATATACCCAAACAGCGACAACAAGATTCTTTTTCTCCTCTTCTTTTTTGACTGCTTCCATTTCTGCTAGCAGCGAGCTGTAAGATCTGTTTTTCCTCTGCTTCCTCCCTATCTGTTTTTCCCATGCTTCCTCCCTACTCGTGTCTTAATTACAGCTAACCCAGCCATTCTTAATCACTAAGTAAGAAACAAAGGAGAGGGAGAAAAAGAAAGAAAGAAAGGAAATGCAAGTATCTTATTGCTTCCTCTCATCGAGTTCTGAGAATCCATGATGGATGCATTGGCAATGAGCAAACTGGAAAAGGGCTCAGCTTTAAAAACCCCACTTTAATTTTTGGGTGATTCTTTCTTTGTTCTTTTCCAGGTGGTGATGAAGATTGGGGAAGCAACTTCAGAGAGAGGGAGGCAGCTATAGCAGCATGCACCATCAAGAAAAGCAAAGCAGGTAACCAGTATCCATCATCACCCATTCCTCCTTCTCTGAATCCCCAGGCTCCAAGGATTTCCTACCTGGACCACTTCAAACTTTTGAAGGTGAAAGAGAGAAGAAAAGAAGAAAAAAGGAAAACCAAAAAAGAAACAGAGAAAGACCATCTCTCCCTCTCCCACCCACACACAAAAGCCCCACTTCCCTTCCCTATGATTAATTGTTATTTTGTTTGTGTTTGAAACTTTTGCTTTTTTGGGTGTATCTTCTCTGCTTTGATTTGTCTTTTTTTCAAACAGAAAACCCCATTCGTGTCTCCAACGCTGTTCTTTTTTTTCCTGATGCAACAGAGAGGTTGAGTAAGAAGGGCTCTGATCGAAGAGTCAGGCGAAGTAGAAGTAAAATTGACATTGATGCTGCTCAAGTCACAGAGGTTAACAATTATAGGTGAGTTTTCAGATTTCATTATAACTCCATTCTGGGTAAAAAGGAAGTAACTTTTGTTTGCTTCTTTCAATTTCCTGGCTGTAATTATTATTGAACGATCAAAAATGAATGCAGGGTTTTTGTTGCAACTTGGAATGTTGCTGGGAAATCTCCACCAAGCAACTTAAGCCTTGACGACTGGCTTCACACTTCACCTCCAGCTGATATTTACGTTCTTGGGTAATGACTGAAGTCCAGTTCCCTCTGTTTATTTCTTCCCCCATTCTATTCCTCTGTTCCTCTAATTGACTTTTCTTTTTTACTTTTTAATAATTCCAGGTTCCAAGAAATCGTACCTTTAAACGCCGGTAATGTTCTGGGCACAGAGGACAATGGCCCGGCGAGGAAATGGCTGGCTCTCATTCGGAAGACTCTCAACACCCTTCCCGGCGATACCGCCGCCTGCCGCACTCCTTCCCCAATTCCCGATCCGCTCGTGGAATCTGATGCGGACTTCGAGGGGTCAACGACGAGACCGAATGCGGCCTCGTCGTTTTTCCACCGCCGTTCTTTCCAGTCGTTGAGCCGGAGCATGAGGATGGACGGCGGCGGCGAAATGACGGTGCCGCAGCCGAGGCTTGATCGGCGGTTCAGTGTCTGCGACAGAGTGATGTTTGGGCAGAGGAGGAGCGATTATTATGACCCGAATTTGAGATGGGGTTCGTCGGACGATGAGACGAACGGCGCAGGGGACTGTTCCCCTGTTACGGCTCATTGTTCCCCTGTTGATGATTGCTACAGTGGGTTCTCTGAAGATAGGGAAAGGGCAAATTATGGGCAGTCGTCGAGGTACTGTTTGGTTGCTAGCAAACAAATGGTTGGGATTTTCTTAACTGTTTGGGTGAGGAGCAATCTTAGAGATGATGTTAAAAACATGAAGGTGTCTTGTGTTGGGAGAGGATTGATGGGTTATCTGGGCAACAAGGTAAGAAACCAACTTTTCTTTTCCGCCTCTTGTTTTTCCTGGCTCTATGATTGGAAAGTTTGAGGCTTTTTAGGGTAAGAAGGAAAATGTTGTCAAGAAAACTCATATGTGACTCTGGGGGCTGGTTCTTTTCAGGGCTCCATTTCAATTAGCATGTCATTGCACCAGACAAGCTTTTGCTTCATCTGTAGCCATCTAACTTCTGGGCACAAGGAGGGAGACGAGCTGAGGAGAAACTCAGATGTTATGGAGATCCTTAGGAAAACCAGGTTTCCAAGAGTTCAAGGCATGGGAGATGACAACTCTCCTCAGACTATCCTAGATCATGAGTAAGTTTTCCCCTCCAGTTTGCTGGAATTTCATTCTCTTAGCTAAACCCTATTCGACTAATGCTTTAAATTCCCGTGTTTGAATGCAGTCGGATCATATGGTTAGGGGATTTGAATTATCGAATTGCCTTGTCGTATCGGTCGGTGAAGGCCCTAGTAGAGATGCGCAACTGGAGGTTATTGCTAGAAAATGATCAGGCATGCTTTTGCTTTCTGTACTCATAGTTACTTATGGATTTTCCTTCTCAAATACATTGCAATTATAATTGGATAAAATGCTCAATCTTTGGTGTTTCTATCGGAAACTTCAGCTTAGGATGGAGCAAAGGCTAGGGAGAGTGTTTGAGGGATGGCATGAAGGGAGAATATACTTCCCTCCAACATACAAATACTCGAATAACTCGGACAGATATGCTGGTGATGACAGGCACCAGAAGGAGAAGCGAAGAACTCCTGCTTGGTAATTATTAAGTTTCTCCTATTAGCTAGTCTGTTCATGCAGGAAAGATTGAGCTGTTTATGTTTTGCCTTTTTCCCCCCCAAATTTTTGGTAGGCAAAGAACTTTATCATGTCAAATTTGTGCACAATGTAGGTGTGATCGGATTTTATGGAACGGAAGAGGACTGAATCAGTTATCTTACGTTCGTGGTGAATCAAAGTTCTCGGATCACAGGCCGGTTTACAGCATTTTTCTTGCCGAGGTGGAGTCGATAAACCATGGTAGAATCAAGAAAAGTATTAGTTGTTCAAGCTCCAGAATTGAGGTAGAGGAGCTGCTGCCCCACTCACATGGATACTCATACACTCAACTCAATTACTTTTGAGAGAAGGGGGATTTCCATGGTCCATCCAGAACGCTAAATTTATCATGAGAACAATTAATGCCTGATCATCAAGGTAATCTTTCTGATGGATCCTTGGTTTACAAATCAGCAAAGTGACTTAGTATGCATTCTGCATCTTGTACGCAACTCTGAGATGTTTGCTTTGCTGGAAACAGGTTGTTGTTACTTGTTGCTGCATCTGATAATGTTTGCTCTTGCCATGGAATGGTGATGGAGCCTTTGGGAAAACCCGAATCGGAAGGTATGAACTTTATCGCTTTCGTTTACAATATCTCAGCTGCCGGCATTACTACTTCCATGCTATATCATGCCCTTTGTAAATGCTCAATGCTCCCACTGACAACATCCATTCATTTCCTCACCAGATTGCAAGTTTTTACTCCACAAATTGGGTGGCTCCACAAGACAGAGCAGCTGCCGGATTTCCCGTTTGTAGCAAAGGTAAGAGGAAGCTTCATTTTGCTTCAGCAGCGCAATTCATTTCCTGCCATAACTTCAACATTTAAACACTTTACCTGATTCATTTTGGTCCCATTTTGGCCTCTTTCTTTGCAGGAAGAAAGGAATTCTGTCCAGCAGCTGTGTGAAGATATGTAGTCCCAAGTTCACTGGCGATTCAATTTTCGTGGTTAGCCAAACACAACAACAATAAATGTCATGAAGGAAGAAAGTGAGGTGAAGCAGGTTGACGAGAGGAGGAAGAGGTTACAGTAGTGAATAGAAGCAAGCAAAAGGGTAAAGAGAAAGAGTAGGGATGTAAATGTAAAATATGGCCAGTTGCCAGTTGCCACTTACACCAGCGAGAAGTGAAACAGTAAATAAGATAGTGGGGGCTGGATGATCATTTTTTTTTTTGCAGCATTCTTACTTGTTCCTCTGAGTATAACAGTACAGATAAAGACGACGGGGGAGCAGAAAAAGAAAAAGGAAGCAGAGGAAACGAAATAGTGGAAACAAGGCTTTCCCTTTTTGCGGCTTTTTGTTGTGTGGGAATGTCAGGTTGAGGGGAGTACGGATTGTTTTTGTCTGGTGAATTAAGCTGTAATGCAATGCATGGACTCCAGTCTCCAACGGTTTTGTCCATGCCTATGCCATCAACTGGGAGATTTTCATCATGATGAGAAAGAAGTGTCCTGCTGGTTTTGGACCAAACCAAACTGAAAACATAAAAGGAATAAGAATCTGGTTTGGTGTTGACTTTTGATTCCATCATTTCCTTTATTATAACAAATGAACAAGGCTTTATTTTTCTAGTCTTTGAGTTAACAATTTCGATTTAACCTCCTTCATTTTCAACTCATTGAGTATTGGGGATTTATCACTCTCTCTAGGAGTATTGGGGGTGTTCTAGCTCAGTGTTATTATTTGCTCATATCATTGCTGAGTTTTAACTTGTTTATAGAATACTGGACACTGGGGCCGCACCATGTTGCGGTGCACGTAGATATGTTTTAAATCATAATTTGTATCATGTTTGCTAAGTTGTTGTGACGAACAAGGGCTTGGTCTATTGGTAATACCACTAGTCTAGAACCTGGAGGTCTCATGTTCGAATCCCTTAAGTAGTACCTTAATCACAAAAAGAGAAACCTGTATCTGATTTCTCTTTTTTTTTTATAAGGGCTTGGTCTAGTGGTAATACCACTAGTCTAGAACCTGGAGGTCTTAGGTTCGAATCCCTTAAGTAGTACCTTAATCACAAAAAGAGAAACCTGTATCACCCTTATAAAAAAAAAGAAACCGGATATTATATGAAACTTTGTCTGATTGGGTGAACTAATGGTCTACAAAATGATTAATTAGCTAAAATACATAAATATAAATAAAAAGGTGATGCTTTTTTTCATGTTAGATGTTAGAGTTCATCGTCATTCATGGATTGACTAGCAAGTTAGAAGAACGCATAAAATTTGTATCATGTTTGCTAATTGAGCAATGTAATAAAATTTGCTTCGAAGGAAGGATTGATTTGAATGGTGAAGACTTTGTCACGTTGTTGAAAATCCATCGTAGTTAAATCAAGAAGCTATTTCGAAATAGCGTACTAAACAACATATCAAAAGATTTTTTCATTAAAGGAAAACAAAGACTCCAGAGCGATGCGAATACACAAATCAAATTCTCATAATTAGTTTTTATGGTATTTCTCAAATTGAGAAGCGCATAGAGGATACATGAAAATAACAACATAGAGATTTTTTCTATCGAAGGAAGAGCACAAAGTGTGTCAGGAGAAGATTGGTTTTTGTTCTTGTGGAGTTAAACACTATACGTTTAAGATCTATCATGTTCACAAATGCAGAGCGTATTACGAATACCCTAAAATATCAAGATGAATATTTTTGATGTTTGAACAAATTGTTATACCACTTGAAAGAAAACCTCCCATATGGATCAATATTGGTTCTCAAATCAAGAAGTTCATTCAAAAAATACATTTAATAAAAATATGAAAAAGAAGAAAAAATGACTATGCCGAGATCATCTCCGTTAATGAATTGAGAAACGCGTCTAAAAATATATGCAATAGGAGTTAGAAAATGAGGTTTTCAAATTAGATATTATAGATAAAGTGAGTCATAGACTTAAGATCATTTTTCAATGGAGATGAACATTATGTATAAATCTTTATTTTCAAATCGAGAAATTTATAGAGAAATCAAAGCTAATAGAGAGCAAAGAAATCAAGAATAAGTAAATAACTATGGTATGGATCATCTCTATTTTGATATCAAGAAGTAATATATATGCACCAATAGGTTAAAAAAATTCTAATAAATATTAAGTGGTATAGATGCAAGAGTTTACAAAATTAAAATAAGCATTACCACACCAAATACATGCTCAGGGAACAATACTTTGTATTTCGGCATCGCTAAGTTTTGACAAATAAGTCATCTCACAAATAAGTAATGTCATTTTCTACCGCCTGGAATACTTTCCATATGAATTGGTAATCAAAATTTGCCAATGTTAGAATTAATAAATTGATTCCACCTTTTCGGTAAAATTGGTCAATGTTGGTCAAAAGAAGTTTATAAGGTCAACCCTTGCACTTAGAAACCCTTAATCATGACAAATATGTTCAAAACGTACAATATGGAATCAACATACGTAGGTCGACTAGAGTCATTCAAGTAATACGTCAAGTAATTAATTTCGTGTCCTACTTGTCCTCCAAGTCACTTGTTTCCTTGTCCTTGTAAAAGAAGGAAACTTGGTTGTCATTAGGGTTTTAACCCTTCGTCTATCTCTATACAAGCTTAGCTACGAGATTGTCGTAAGCAAGTCATCACAATGTAGTCTCAAATAATAAAACGTCAGTCGTGAACTCTTCTGAGCTCACCGTGGATTAGTCTCGATCAATCAATCGATCGAGGATACCACGTAAAACTCTCGTGTTCTGTGTTCGTTTCCATTCTGCGTTATCAAATTCTTCATGTACTTCATAAGGGCGAAATGATTCATCTCTCACGAGATGGAGTTCGCTTTTTCTTCCTTGAGCCTTCTGTTACGAATATTGAGGCGAAGCCGATGTAGCTTGATTAGGAAGTAATTGCATTGCTGCCACGCAAGTCTTCTTGGATGTTTTCGTATTAAGACGATCTTGCCATGCTGTATTGCACATTTTTGTGCTACTTTATACGCATAAGGGGTATGTTTTGCCTCGTACTTTGATACTCGGCAAGCTTGATCGAGCAAGAGCGATTGATCCTTTTCCCTGATCGTGTGGAGGGTAAATGAAGTTAAAGAGTGTCCAAATTTAAACCTCTATCCATTAATTCATCAAAAAAAAAAAAAAACCTCTATCCATTAACGACGACGACAACCACAAAAACACTTCAATAGCGCAATTTAGATTTTGTCTTGATAACGATATTGGTTATTGAAGAGGGAATTCTGCTGCACAGTCAAAATCGTATTAGAAGGAAATTGTGAAATTTTGAGCAACCTAACTTTGAGTTTTGAGGGGGTTCAGACTTGTCATTGAGAAGGCAGTGTAGGAAAGAAACATGTCAGATGAGCAATAGCTGGAAGGTTCCTTTATAACCCCAAAAGAAAAGGAACCAACTTTGTTCATTAATGGACAAACAGCCTTGTTCTGGGAAAATTATATCTCACCAAACCCGTCACCCTTCGATTCTCCATCTGTCTTCTTCCTCTATCAGCTCTAAAAAGCTCTGTTCTCAACCATGTCCAACTCCACTCAAAATTCTCATTTACCCACTTCTTTACTTTTCTCCCACCAAGGTCAATTTGAATTTATAGATTCTTTCCTCCCTTTATTTGAGGTAAGTTAAATTCATATTATCGGTTAACGTTATTTTGAGCCCAATCACGGGTTTCATTTCCAATCAATCAATATGATCTAACCAAGCATCAGGAAAAAAAAATGGCAGTCTAAGGAAAGCTTAGATTTACAACAATTATTTAAAATTCTAATAACTTGAAGTAGAAATAATCACTTACGTGGTTTGCACAATATGTGTTAGGGTAACGTGAAAAATACAAGAGAAAACACTTTTATATTTACGTGTCCACTACGATTTATTAGTAGGAGGTCTTTTGAGAATGTATTCAAAAGTAAATCCGAGTATTGAAACATCCCTACCTTTTTCGAAAACCAAACCATAACTCAAACCAAAAACGGTTACTCCGGAGCAACCCAAACCACATTTAAAAATAAACCAACTGACATTATTTAAGAATTTTAAACGAAAAGCCCCAACACTGGGACAAAATCTCAATCTCAAACACTTAAAACAACTTAACACAGAATCTCCAGTTTATTCTAATAACCATGAAACAAAACTATTAACTATTCTAACTTGACTCCTCACGAGCTTTCCGGTATCCCGTCAACGTTGGTACTGCTGCTCGCCTCGCCCTACTTCTTCTCGTGATCCACTTCTGCTAGACTATCCTCAACCTGGTGAGTGAGAAGGGGTCAGTCTCGTCGTTACTTTCTAAGGTCTTTGCCCTAAGCAACCTCCTTACTAAAACACATTATTAGCGCTTCCTTTCCTTGGATGAAAGCCGTTCTCACTTTCATCCTTAAATAACCCATTTCAACTTTAACTCATAGAGGTTTTCAACTTTTATCCTTAAATCATAGAAGTTCTCTACTACTACCTTAACTTATATACTTATTACTAGGGAATCACCGCGTTACGTATCACCGTCCGGTGTCCCTATCCTCAAGGCAATGGTACTGCGTTACGTATCATCGTCCAGTCCATGCCCGGTCAACTACTGCGTTACGTATCGCCGTCCAGTAGTGACCCGACCATCTACCGCGTCCAGTAGTGGCCCAACCGCCCGGGGGTTCATCTTACCATCAACCACACACATTCACATACATAGCACAACACGTGCCTCCACCTTAAGTAGGCGGTGGGATACCTCCACACATAATCGCGCATACTTATAAAATTAGCCAACATTACTGAAAATAAAAGCATAAATTAAAAACCTACGACTGAGATTTTACCCCCTTTACACTCACCTTGAAATAACAACGCAATTAACCTCCGAGCAATCTGGCCTGGTATCTCGATCTGGCATCATAACCCTCTTGCTCCCATCATCCATGGTAACTCCATCACCTCGATACATGATTTATCAAACCAGATAACCATCACTACCAGGAGATTGGATTGCTTACCCATTAAGCTACTACTCAATTTCCAATGCCTTTCTTCATATAACCTACGTGTCTTATACTTATGCATTTCCATGCCCACCTCTCTTTAGTATTTGTAATGGGAAACCATCCATTTACTTACGTGGCCCATCCTTCATTCTTAAACCCCACCTATGTTAATCCTTCTTCACGTATAACATTGTACCCATTTAATTGCTCCACAAAATCTCTTAGCATCTAAGTTGTATTTGGCACATTTTAATTCCCCCTAGCTACATATGACCGAGGAGTCACCCATAGTGAGATTGAATCTTAGGTAGAACGTATTACCTCAGTTGTCTAACCGTCCAAATATTGACTCCATGAACAAAGGATGGTCCTTCTCCAATCAACCACCCTGCTTCTCAACCATCGCCTTTGATTGACAATTGCGGCCAGCTTCAGCTGCGGTGATGCTTCCAGACAGCTTCACCCGCAATCGTACACACAATGTCCTGCCCGTCCAGGCTTCATGCACTGCCAACAAATTTCCATCAACGGCACCGCTCCATTTAATCTTCTCTAGCGGCCGTAATGGACAAATCACCGTCCATTTAT